GTAAGGAAGGTGTAGTTAAGCAGCTTGCTAATGGGAAACCAGAACCAATATCTGTGGAAGAGATGAAGACTGCAGAAGTAGAAATACTCAAACATGTACAGAAACAAAGCTTCGTCGAAGAGTTAAGGCTCGCACGAAATGAGAAGAAAGAGAGGTGCGACCCAACAGTGGAAAAGCGAATGAAGACTCACGTGGTAAAGAAATCAAGTCCAATTTACAAGCTTAATCCAGTGATAGTTAATGGTCTCCTGTGTCTTGGAGGACGCCTGTCGCGCGCGCCGATTCAGGAAGAAAGTAAACATCCCGTTTTACTGCCGAAGAGGCATCATGTCGTAGACCTGATTGTAAGACATTATCATTTGATCTCTGGTCACTCGGGTAAGGAACATGTTCTATCGTTGATTAGAGAGAAGCTATGGATAGTCAAGGCACGAGTCACAATGCAGAATGCCATCAATAACTGTTTTGACTGTAAGAGGAGACAATCTCCTGTTGGTGTGCAGAAAATGGCAGATCTCCCTGTAGATAGAGTTACCCCCGAGAAGCCTCACTTTAGTTTCGTTGGTGTGGATTGTTTTGGCCCGTTTTTGGTCAAAAGAGGAAGAAGTCAAGTCAAGAGGTACAGTGTGCTGTATACCTGTCTAGTTACACGAGCAGTGCACATTGAAGTAGCCTACAGCATGGACACTGATTCCTTTATTAACTCGATGAGACAGTTCATCGCGGCAACGAACTCGGGAGTTGATGCGGTCACATAATGGCACGAATTTCGTCGGTGGCAACAAAGAGCTTAGTTCCGCCATCTCTCATGGAATGTGCAGCAAATTCACGGGTTCTTCTTGCAGAAACACATCAAGTGGATCTTTATTCCTCCTTCAGGCTCTCACCACGGGGGTGTCTGGGAGCGTTGCATCAGGACGGTTAGAAAGGTCCTCAATGCAATTCTAAAGGAACAAGCACTCAATGACGAGGGGTTGTCAATGCTTATGTGTGAAGTTGAGGCGATCGTCAATAGCAGGCCGATAACGAAATCCTCTGATGACCCTAAGGAATGCGAAGCACTTACACCGAATTATTTACTCCTCCTTCGATCAGGTCCGTGCCTACCTCCTGGTTCATTCAGTAAGGAAGACTCACACTCCCGGAGGAGATGGCGACAGGTTCAGTATCTCGCTGAAGTATTCTGGCGTCGTTAGATCCGCGAGTACCTGCCGCAGTTACAGGCTAGACAGAAGTGGGTGAATCCTTCGAGGAGTTTCACTGTTGGTGACATAGTCCTAGTGGTAGATGAAAGATGCCCTAGATCGTCCTGGCCTCTCGGTGGGATTGTCAACGTTCATGAAATCCGTAATGACGGCCTCGTAAGAAGTGTTACGCTAAAGACAGGAGCCTCGTTGTTGGGGCGCCCTATAGATAAGATCGTTTTACTGGAGTCCGTAGAAACCTCCGAGGGACATCTTAAGTGAACTCGAACACTTGCTTTCAGTTAAAGAACAGTATAGTTTAATTCCTTTCTGTTGTTTTAATCCTTTAAGTATAAATGCTTCGCATTTAGGAGCCGGGATCTAGGCTTAAAACATTGCGTCATCTAGTCGCAGCGCTAAGAACTGCGGGACTTGTCAGACCACGCGGGTCGAACTGTCGAAAGTATTCAGGATTTTCTAAGATTCTCTAGGGATTTACTGCGTTGCTGTTCATTTTCAACTTTTTCCCTCATGTGACAATAATCTGTAAGTTTAGATTTGTATTTCTTTGTCGCTTTATCGTAGCGGTTTAGCTTTGGTATGAAATGTAACTCGAGATAATATTCGCTTTCAGTTGAACCGCTTCCCGAAGCTTCTTATTGTCCAAGCGTGTTCAAAACAACTACACGAGTCTACGATTAAACCAGCATACGAGTCTACGATACAGTCCAGTGTCTTCAAGTTCATTTAACTCGACAGATGACTTGGGATGACTGGGATGACTACTGATGACTAGTGATGACTAGAGATGTCTGGGATGACTAGGGATGACTGGGATGACAAGGGATGACAGCGATGACTAGGGATGACTAGGGTTGTCTGGGATGACTGCGGATAACTAGGGATGACTGGGATGACTGGGATGACTAGGAATGACTAGGGATGACTGGGATGACTAGGGATGACTGGGATGACTAGGGATGACTGGGATGACTACGGATGACTACAGATGACTGGGATGACTAGGGTTGACTAGGGATGACTGGGATGACTAGGAATGAGTAGGAATGACTAGGGATGAGTAGGGATGACTGGGACGACTAGGGATGACTGGGATGACTAGGGATGACCAGGGATGTCGGGGATGACTAGGGATGACTAGGGATGACTAGCGATGACTGGGATGACTAGGGATGGCTAAGAATGACTAGGAATAACTGGGATGACTAGGAATGAGCAGTTCGGGCCATAGACAATTTTGTCTATATGATGACGTCATCAAAATGTCGTCCTGGCACAATTCTTGAGAACTTATACCCGCCCCAAAATTTTGTCCCAGTTTTTTTGTATACGGCTGTTTGGTCCCTTGAGTCCCAGTTCCCGTGAAAGAGGAAAGACGGAGCTTCCATTCAAGGCAATCAGAAATAGCGTCGGTTGAAATGTGCCGAAGAAATGTGCATTCGAAGTCGAACTGTGGCACCTAAATTGAGCTCGGAAAGGCTGACATGCTACGAAGCAAAAGGAAATTTGAGGTAGGTAAGATTTTTTTCGCCAAAAAAAAAATACTGTGGTATTCTCTGATGATTGGGCTTCAAACACATTGAAGCAGAATTCAAGTTCACGGCGGTTTAGTTCAAGTGCACGCCGGTTGAAGTGTGACCGTAGTATTGCCCTTTACCGCCATTGCTTCTTAAAGAGTACTAGCGTCTGCTATTCTAAAGGTTCTATTTTGCTCTTCTTTTCAGTTGGTGGATAGTCGTGTTATATTCGTTTTACACCTTGGTCTTTCCTCTCTATACATGCAGAAGAAGAATTACAAGTCGGCTGTTTAGAAAGAATAGCGTCGTTCGAATGTGGCGAAGAAAGCGTCTTTCCAAGTTATTGGTTGCACATGTATCTTGATGACATGCTGTGACACGAATGAAAATTGGAGGTTAGTTAAGATGCTTTTGTGACCAGGGTTACAGACATGACATTGCAATAAGGCTTTAGACTTATTTATTGTACAGTCATAATTATTTAGAATTAAGATACATACATAATCTTTCACACATGCATTTTCCTTTAAGTCACACTACCACTCTCTGCATCAAAATCACAAGAATTTTATTCCCTGTTTTGATAAATTCCTTACAAAAGAAGTGCAGTAAGAAGCACTTTAAACTACTTTGTGGCTACAAGCCTGTTTTGTTATTTAAATAAAAACTCTAAAACCTGCCTCAGTCACACTCTTTTTGAAAAGAGAAAAATGCAGTGATGTTCTCCAATACATTTGCATGAAAAACATCAAAACGGAATTCAAGTGCACCTTGTTTTGTTTTTTGGTGTAACATCCTGATAAATTGCTCTTCGGCAACATTGGCTCTTCAAGTGTTTTCTGCTGCTTATCTATTGACTTCCACTTCTAAAGCTCTTATTTTGATCTCCTGTGCAGCTCATGGATGGTCATTTATCGTTTTTAAGGACAGCTTGTCGACTGTGTGGAAAAGTCCTTTCAAGGAAGTCTGATTTCGCCGACAAAAGTTTATTTAAAAATGAGTTATTGAACCAGTTTCAAATAAACATTGAGGAAGACTTGGAAGAAATTCATCCCAATAGTATCTGCGCTGGATGCAAACGATCACTTCATCAAATTTGTGGCAATACAGATGTGCACGCCAAAGTGTCGACCTCAAAACGACCTTATTTGTGGACAAGTCACTCTGAAGGAAACTGTCCATGTAATAAGAAAGCCAGAGGGCGTCCTCCAAAAAGTGTTGACAGTGAAGCTTCAATATCAAGTCTGGGGTGGAAGGATCCTGGAGCTTCAAAAACCCTGCTTTGAGGCAGAAGATGCCTTTGGACATCTGGAGCTTTGAGCATCAGTTTTTGGGGTAGTAGGATCTCTGGAACTCCAGTTCCTTGTATTGCAATGGCAGGTGCAATTCCCTGAAATGGTTCCACACTGGAACTTCCATATGCATTCTGGGGTTAATGGATCTTGGAACTTCTAATATCTTGCCCATTGTGGCGGAAGATGCCTTGTGCATCTGGACTTTTTAATGTCAAGATTTGGAGTGAAAGGATCTCTGGAACTTCTAGTCTCCGATATTGGAGTGGATGGTGCCCTTTCCTCAGCCCTGGATGCTTGCAAACTAAATGGCAACTTCATATACAAGCTCATTAAGGACACAAGACTCAAAACAACTTTTACACAGTCATAAAAAGGTTACAATAATATTGATGAAACTGGCCTTCAGTGCAAATAAAAATAACACACCTATATAGTTATAAGATACAATAACAACAATAAAAATTATGACAATTTCAATCATCAGTGTCTTAATAATTATAATATTATAACATTACACAAAAAACGAGATATTACATGAATACTAAACACCATTAAAAAGAACAAACCATTTTTAAAACTCTTCAAGGACAAATAGTTATGCTTGGGATGATAGTTTCTAAACAGATGATATAATTATAGTTAACGATCGTAACCGCTAATGATACTTCTACAGTTTTCTTTGTTCTTTTTCAGGGCATTTTTAGTGGAACCTATCCGCCGAATTTGACAAATCTGGACTCCACTGTTGAATCCTCAGGTGTCTAAAACTAGGAACTGAATTTTTCATTTAAGAATAGAATGGGCATGGAAAGCTGTACTTCAAATAAAAGTGAAGACTAATAATAATTTTAAAAGAATTAAGGTATTTTCTTTTTCAATGAGCTTGCCTGTGGAACTATCGGCTCTCTTTAAAAAAATGTTTTATGAGTAGGAACTCTCTGAAAACTGCAAGAATATTGGAATATTATACTTTTTTTCCTTTGCAGCAGGCTATTAGAGAGGCAAGGCACAAAAGAGTGTTAAAAGAAGACAGAAGTGGTTGGCACGTAATTGTCAAAATGCCAAATGGTGAGCGCATTAGCCGCTACATCAAGAAGAAATCATGTTACCAGGTACAAGCTCATGCTAATTTCAAGTGTACATATCTCTGGGAATATTATTTTTACAATATAGAAGATACAGGTACTGTTACATGTTACTCTGCCTCCTGGCAAATCAGTCCACCATGTACGTTGTGTGACCGTTATTTCAACTTAAAAGAGATGGATTGTTTTAATTGCCTTAAAAAAAACTTTCTATTGTCATAAATTACTGAAATACTTTTTTTTGTTTTTTTTTTAGGCAGTCTATGACTGGGTTTGCTACCCGGATGACCAACCCCTCTTTTTTACCCTGCATGGAGTGGGAGGGGTGAAAAAACTAGACAAGCCTATTGAAGGCCACTGTTTCCTCCACTTACAGGAGCGAGTGAGTGTATTAATATTAAACAACGAATCGAGACAATCATGAAAAGTGAAATTACTAATATTTGTGGGAAGATTAACTAGTCTGGACAACACTCAACCCTTTTAACAAGTTAACCACTTATGTATATATTGCTTGAGATACATGTAACAGTAATCGCAGACAAATATCGTAAATATCCCAAGCCAATGATATTACAGAGCCATATCCTGCGTCACAATTGTAATCAAACTGTGGTGTGTAACGCTAATAATTTGTTTATCCTTCCTCCTTATTTATTTAACGAGTCGTTTACCAGAGATGCGCGGAAATTTCCCTTCGACCTGAATGGCAAACTGACAATAGCTTTTTTGAAAGTAACTCACCGTTTCAAAGATACCCAAATCCTGGTACACAGTAGGGGGCCAAGGATAAGGGTTTTGGTGCTGTTTCACAGATGGACTTGTTTAAAATAGAAGATCCAGGCTAATAGGCCCGTAAGGCTTAACAAATCCCACCCAGTGTATCTATCCCATCTACAATACTGTTCAGTACACATTTCTTCACATGAAAAAATTATTATCATTATTATCAATTAATAAAATTTAAAAAAAGGTTTTTTTGCCCCAATGGAGGACATAAGCACTGTCAGACAGTGAAGATGCGGGTGACATTAAATGCTTGAGGCAAGCCAAGTAAAGTATCATTAAATGATCTTCTGGTTCCTACAGAAAGAAATATTTCAGGTTTCTAACCCTTACACAAAAATTATGTAACAATTATGAACAGTCCATGTCTTAACTATAAGTGGTGTGATTATTATCTTGTACAGGAAGAGGAAGAAATGCCTTCACTCCTTGATTCTGAGGTAACTATTATTGCTCTAAGGCCTATAGAGTACAGCACCACTGTACTCAGAAAAGTCTCTGAATTGTCTTCCCCTATGCACGTTGACTGTTCGTTGGACAAAAAATGTAATATTTAAATTAATAATAATAATAGTAATAGTAACGTAATATTAATAGCAAATTTGAAATTTAGCAACTTGCTTTTCATGATTACAACAGTATCATGATATATTAGAAAGCCTTCTAGTATTGGTCCAATTTATGTTTAGATTAAGAAACATCACATAGAAATTATGTGGTGTGTACAATGGGCTGATGTTGCATCCTTGTTTTGCACAGGTTTCCTTGAGAGAATCATTGCCTAAGGGCACTGAGGATTTGTCCTCGACCTTACCCGGTAAGACTTCCTAAGATAACGTTTGTATACGTGATATGAAGTGGTGACGTGGAAATTAATGAAATCTTGCACAGGTTTCCTTGAGAGAATCATTGCCTAAGGGCACTGAGGATTTGTCCTCGACCTTACCCGGTAAGACTTCCTAAGATAACGTTTGTATACGTGATATGAAGTGGTGACGTGGAAATTAATGAAATCCTCAAGTCCCATGCATAAAATGACTCGAACAGACTCCGTGATAAATTACAAAGTTCTTAGTGACCCAGCTTAGAGCTTGCGAAAAACAACACCTCTCATTAATTTAAAGCAATCCTAGATCAATAATAAACAGGTTGTCAAAAGATGAAGATTCATAAAAGTCATGAGCCATCTAATTTTCGTTTGATATTTCGTTTGGAGGTGAATTTGGACAGTCTACTCATGCACATTAACTTTCTTTATCATTATCTTACGTGTATATTAAAAATTCTGGTTACTTGATTTTCTTTGGAATTTTTCTTATATTGTCTATTTTAATGAATTTGTAGATGAAAGAAAGGCTAATGATGCCATGCGAGGTGTAGGTATGGAATTAAGTTAATTCAACTTTCTGTATACCTTCAGCTGTCATTCCCACAGTACAACAAAACAAGTCAAACTATTTTCCTCAACATAACAACGTTTTTTGAAATGCTAACGTTACCCAGTAAAGAAACTGAATATGTAGTTTTTGGTGCTAGTAATTTTTTTTTGGTATTAAGCATCAAGGTCCATCTGAGGCAAAGAGGCCAAAAGGGGAAGCAGATGTTACAGAAAAAGGTACAGTACATGTTACTGGGAATTTGTTGCTAGAATTTTTTTCTTTCTCTTACGTGCAAAAAAAATGGCACATTCGGTAGAATATTGTTTTTGTTTACGTTGTAGCTGGTTGTTGATGATCACAGTATAAGTGCTTAGGCCACGAAATAAACGATTTCTCAAAAAAGAAAGAAAAAATGAGTTTCTGTACTTCGTGCCTAGGATTTCCTTCTTTCATTCTTAAGAATTCCAATTTGATGCACACCTACCATACGCAGAAAGCTGGTTTGGAAACAACCCGTGCCTTGGCGGTTAAATATGGTGATGTAAGATTAATTTTTTTATTTTTCATAGGGGAAAACAATGAAAAAACAAAGAAGAGGGGAAAAAGGAGGAAGAAGGCAAAGAACGTAGTGGGCAATGATGGAAAAGAATGATGCTTGGCAGTTTTTAATTATGGAAAGAAAAATTCCAATTTCTTAAGTGTTTAATTTGTAATAGGAAGAGGATCGAGTGGAGTCCAATTCGGTCTGTTATTGTACATTCAACTCACTACCTCATTTCTGATTGGCCGAAAGCGTGCAGTGAGATTTCGAAATCAGTGCCTATGTCGGAGACTGAGGCTAGTATTTGTGATTGCGTGATTGTACAGACTTGAGTTGATGACAGAAAACCCACGTGATTGATCAAATTAGTTCGATAGGTGATTTTGTTAAATACCCGTGAATGATATGTGTCAAGGACCGGAAATTTACCCGTAGGCCATTTGCACGCAATGTTCAGTATAAACGATAAGCGCTTGTGATTTTAAGCTGCGTCATTGAGTTGTTGTCGTTGTTGACCCTGTAAACCAGTCATGAGATCGCGAGAGCTGTGACCTGTTGAGTTTGAACCTTTGAGAGTGATTCCAAGCCATTAAACCTATCAGTGGACCTGTGAGTATAATTTGCCTTGAATTATTCCTTTCTCTTTGTGACATTTGTGGGGAATCGATTCCTGGAGGCAAGCGTTTCCCACACCTGGCACCCCCGACGGGACAGCTCAAATGAGAGCAAGAACATGGATGCTTTAGAAACCAAGCTAGAGCAGCTGAAGCTAGCTGTGACGCGAACCGATTCAATAATTGCCCTGAATAATGAAGTAGCGATGGAGAGACATCCCAACGCCATTAAGGCCTTGACCATGGAAGCCGACAAGGCAAAATGGGTTTGCATTTTCTGTTTTGAGATGAAGGGTGCCCCCATATTTGATGGGACAGTTTTATGCTGTGATCATCTTGTATGTATCAAATGCTTTAAGAAGAATGCTGACTTTCTGAAGACTATGTGCACTTGCCACTGTGGGGCAACGTTTCCAGAAAGTGCCTAAGAGTATATTGTCACGAATACTCAGTGGGAAAGTGGCAGCTGGAGACATATCATAAACTCTTTTCTCTCCCTACAGTACTTAATTGACGTAAAATCCTAAAGAAGTGTATCCGTTTTCTCCTGTCTGCATCGAGGACGATGCTCAGTTTAAGCGGGGAGGAATGTTATGAGGTAGTTGCCTTTAGTTTTGTTTTTCAGTTTTGCTATTTTTTAAGATTTTGCCAGCTTCGTGATAAACAGTTTATAGACTTTCATAGAATTAGAGACTTAGAGATTCAATTTATTTCCCCACATGGTTAGTTCCTGAGTTTTTGTCTAGTATTATCCATTTAAAGTGTTTGTTAAACTTAGTTTTGATTCTTTGAAGTAGGCTTGTTTGTTTACAATTTGGTTATTTAATTCGCTGTGTAAGCTAGTAGAGTAGTAGAGTTGTTGTCAGTGGCTGCGTATTGTTGAAGATTAAACTGCTAGTTTAAAGAGAACGAACAGTCTTGGTCCTCTCGTTGTAAAGCCAAGCGAGCTTCACAAGCCCTCACCAAAGTTTTAATCGCGATTTGCATTATTATAATACCTGATCTTGGAATAATGTTACGAAAACCACAGCCAAAGTAAGGTGGCGCCATTGGACCAGTAACACCTTTGCTGCAAATGAGTGGAATTCTCTTGATCTGTCACTTAGGGAAGCCGCCTCTTTATCCAGTTTTAAACGAAACCCTTCCCAAGTGACTTTAAAATATTACACCCATTTATAAGGATGGTGATCGAGAGCCAGTAGAAAATTATAGAGGCATTTCACTCTTAACTATCTCTGGGAAATGCCAGGAGAGAATTGTGTACAATGCTATTTATGATCAAGTTATTAGATTCATACATGATTCTCATCACGGGTTCCTCACTGGTCGTTCCTGCACTACTCAACTACTCTTAGTACATCATGATTGGTTCAAAGTCTTGGACAAGAGAGGTCAAGTTGATGTAGTATTTATAGACTTTTCAAAGGCTTTTGACCTTGTCTATCATAATATTCTACTAACCAAACTTTACAAATATGGTGTCCATTAAGAGTTGCTAAATTGGTGTAGAGATTATTTAACAGAACGTCAACAGCGTGTTGTAGTGAAAGCAGAGGCTTCCGACTGGTTAACCGTAACCTCTGGTGTCCCACAAGGTTCTTTGTTGGGACCATTATTCTTCATAGTCTACATCAACGATTTACTGGGGGTAATTAATAAGGACAATTCAATTACTCTGTATGCTGATGACAGCAAAATGTATAGGGTTATTAGTACTCAAGAAGATTTGTCAACTTTTCAAAGTGACATAGACAAAATTTCAGATTGGTGTAAGATGAATAAGATGAGAATTAATACCAAGAAATGTAAGATCATGCCAATAACCAGAAAAAAGTCACCCTTAGTTGGGGAGTAAAATATTGAAGGTCAACCTTTGGAAAGTGTTGATGTGTATAAAGATTTAGGATTATTTACTACTAGTAATCTTTAATGGAACCAACACGTAGATAAAATAACTGCTAAGGCTAATAGGGTTTTAGGGTTGGTTAAGAGGACTTGTAGGGACTTAAAGGATATTGATACCATGAACACACTTTATTGTAGTCTTGTGAGACCTTTATTAGAATATTCATGCAAAACTTGGAACCCTCATACTAAACGTAATATTGATAGACTGGAGGTTGTTCAGCGAAGAGCCACCAGATGGATAACTAGGTCTGATGATGATTATGATACTAGACTATCTAAGCTAAAATTGTTGTCATTATCTAATAGGAGGTTCACTAGAGATGTTAATTTTTTTTTAATGTAATTAATGGACCTTATGATATTGACATTTCAAATACGCTCATATTTTGTAAGGACAGAAATACAGGTTATAACTTGAGGAAAAATGACACACAGGACCTTGTTCCAAATTTTAGTAGAACTGATGGTTTTAAATATAGTTTTTTTAACCGTGTTGTAGATGAATGGAATGGTTTACCCAATCATATTAGAGAATCAAACAGTATTGCAAGTTTTAAAAGAAATGTTTTAAGCTTTATTAAGGATAACTAGAACATTTATATTTCTATTTGTATATATTTTTCTTATATGTTAATTAGTGGGGGCATCCCTAGTATGGCGCATTGGTGCTTTTGGTTGTCTCCTTCTACACAACTTTTTCTTTCTTTCTTTTTTCTTATAGTAGTGTTAGCTTATTTCATTTCATTATTTGCTTGTAATGCAGTGGAGTGAATCTGTAATAAATAAATTATAAATTATAAAAGTACCTGTTAATAAGGAAATACCTACTACCTAATTCTATGTCAGTAAATGTAATATATATATTTAGCCACAGTTAAAAGCGAAGCTCCCATTGATAAATTTATAACTTAAATCAAACAATAATTTTGTATTCCACAAATCAGTTAACGTAAGGGCACATTCATGTGACTTTTGAGGGAAAAGCTAAGTGATTTTGGAGTGAAACAAATTTTGTATCGAGTTGATATAGTCTTTGGTCACATTTAAGAGCAATGATGGCTCTTGATCACAGTAGATAAGGCGTGCAAAACAAATTCTAGGAAAACAAATCAGACCGAATTTTTTGCGTTCGACAAGTTTACAAATTCTTGCCAATAAATCTGGGTGCGTGCAAACCAATCTTTTTTTTTTATACACCACATCTGAGGAGAAAGAGTACTATGAGGCGCTGTTTTTATCATACAGACCTCGTGCAAAATGCAGTATTTCACAATACTTCAAGACAAATTGCATTCATTCAATATTCAGGACCACAGAGGCACGCGTGGACTATTAGCGAAACCGTTCAAAAAATTTCCAAAATCACCTATACGGCCAGCTGGTTCTAACTTTTGACAAGCGCCAAATTTGCGAAGAAATTTTAAAAGAGTTACGCTTCAACGTGATAAAGAATTTATTGAGTCTATTTTTTATTAACGGTTTTATAACGATGTGTAATCTTAAAAAGCGTTTGATACGCTTGGCATTTTGAGTACTCCTGCGAGCGATGTTTATGAACGCCTGAAAACAAACGGCAAAGCGATGAAAATTACACTTTTGAGACTACCAAA